GCAGAGAGAGAAAGAGAGGGAGAGGGAGAGAGAGAGAGAGAGAGAGAGAGAGAGAGAGAGAGAGAGAGAGAGAGAGAGAGAGAGAGACATAGACAGAGAGAGAGAGATAGAGATAGAGATAGAGAGAGAGAGAGAGAGAGAGAGAGAGAGAGAGAGAGATCGAGAGAGTGAGAGAGAGAGAGAGAGAGAGAGAGAGAGAGAGAGAGAGAGAGAGAGAGAGAGAGAGAGAGAGAGAGAGAGAGAGAGAGAGAGAGAGAGAGAGAGAGAGAGAGAGAGAGAGAGAGAGAGGTAGATAGAGAGAGAGAGAGAGAGAGAGTGAGAGAGGAGAGAGAGGAGAGAGAGAGAGGAGAGAGAGATAGAGAGAGAGAGCGGGGAGGGTTGGGGAGCAAGAGAACTAAATAAGAGAACTAAATAAAGTATAATAAAAAAAATGAGAGAGAGAGAGAGAGGGAAAGAGAGAGAGAGCGAGCGGGGAGGGTTGGGGGCAAAGAGAGGGGGAGAGAACTAAATAAAGTATAATTATATAATGCGTAAAGGGTGCACATTCAGATCCAGAGAAAAGAGTAAGCAGGGCACGAGGCGTATGGCAATATGCAGCAGTGTGTGGGCAGATGTGCATACATCTTACAAAGTGTCAGTGGCCCAGTGCCATTGCTGGGCACGGAGGTGCCAGAAGACAGACACTTTGAAACTTTGCAGCCGTTTCCGGTCAGGTGGCTGGCTGAGGACGGTGGGTGGCAGGGCATTCCATACAGGGACAGCACAGGCGGTGAAAGCTCTAGGGCAACTTTTCCGGCTATTGACAGGTAGCCCTGTCTCAAGCTGGTAGTTATGCATGTCGAGACGGACGAGAGAGAGACGAGTGGGTCGAACATGGGCTGGTCGGGGGGCTTGAGAGGGAGGCAAGAGCTGACGAAGTGGGCTGGTAAGATTGGAGCACAGTAGTTTGTAAATGTAGGTACACGCAGCTACCATGCGCCGGATAGACAGGCTTTGCAGCATTGCGCCGGGGCCAATCAAGTGGAGGGCTGAGCGTTGCGTCTGGTCAAGTCGCTGCAAGTGACAATCTGCTGCGCCCATCCAGACCAATGGGCAGTACTCCATTACTGGGCGTACAAACCCACGGTACACTGTAGCTCGGCTGCGAGAATCCAGGAGGGGCGAGGCCTTCCCCAGGAGCCCGAGACGCTGACGTGCTCTGATGGCGATGGTACGGAGGTGGTTGCGGTGGGAAAGTTGGCTGTCCAAGGTTACCCCAAGAAGCTTGAGGTTACTCTCTCCATTCAGGGGGACACCCGCAAACTGTACTGCTGGGAGGTCCCAGGCGGGGCGGTGATGGTCAATAGTCATGGCCTGGGACTTGGCTGGCCCGAACGCAATTCTCCAGCTGGTGCCCCAATTCACAAGGGCATCGAGAGCATTTTGCAGGACTGTCGAGCTGTGGTCAATGGTATCCATGGTGGACAGGCACTGAAACAGCGTTGTGTCGTCGGCATAAGCGGCCAGATCTACACCTGGTGGAAGGTGGTCATCGGCATCGTTCGTGTAGAGGAGGAACAGTGTTGGTCCCAACAAGCTACCTTGCGGAACACCGGCTGTGATGCGGTGTGGGCTGGACGACTGCCCACCAACGACAACACTCAGGCGCCTGTCCAGCAGGTAGTCCCCCAACCATGCAAGGAGCATGCCGGATACACCGTACCGCTGGGCTTTGTGGATCACACCTGGGTGGGAGACTCGATCGAACGCTCCAGCAATATCCACAGCAACAACCCGCACAGCTCCGCCCCCTGCAGCCACGGTACTCCAACGATGGTGTAGTATAATCAGCTCATCTCTCCCGTAGCTCCACTTCTCCTTCCATCATGACCGAACATCAACTATACAATTTAGAGCAATATCCATAGCCTGCAGTCATATCATGGCTGCTAAAATCCAGAGGTCATGACTTCGTAACATGCATAATGTACAAATGTAATGTACATGTACATGTACACGGAGTTAGGCGGACTTCCCGCCACTATCTCGGCCGCCCTGGATACCTGATGATGTGATGAAGGCTGATTCACTCGCATCTTCTGCTACATGATTGTACTGTGTCAGTGTGAGAAAGAACTGTTACTTTGAAGAAGACGAGTTCGAGCATACAATGCTGTATTGCCATGATTTCTACCCTGATTTTCATTGAAAACACTATCTGCATGACCTCCGAACCCTTTAGTGGCTTTACCATGCAGACCACCAGCACTGATCAGGTGCATTGTACACAATTGTATAGCCTACATACTAGAACTGTGGTAGAATCGTGTAGTTATCCTCCTACCTCCGAGAGGATGCCAAATTATGCTCCAAATTTTCAACCACCAAATTATGCCAATAATTATGCCGGCGGGCGCCGGTGCCTAGCTGCCGTCTGATTATTGTGTGATAGAGCGTCCTTGGCGTGCATGCTACAGGACTGAATGTCGCCTTCACTCCAGGACCATGATCCAGTCTCGCCTGGCTAGGCGTACCTGAGCTGTGCCAATCGTGGTTATCACGTGCTGCGAAAGCGCTAGGCGTCTCGAGCTAGTCGTTGGGTACGGGAGGTTGTGTTCGTAGAACTAGAACTATTTACTTGTAGAAGCGTCTCCAGCGCCATCCGGGTGCTTCAACCGTGCGGCGGCAAGAGAGACGCGATCAGCAATACTAGAGTGTTGGACGATTGACAACGGTTGCCATTGACAGCATGATATCAGCTGTCCAACATTCACAGTTTGCCTATCGAGTATCGTACATGGACTCCACTGTGTTTGTACATCTCCCTCGCTGGCTAAGTAATATTAGTTCAGTTCAGAGAGGCTTCCCCTTCCACTAGGGGATTTGCGGGAATACAGTGCTACATAATGACCGTAGCGGTGTTTTTTTTGGGTTGTGACACAGTCTTTTACAAAAACCATGTGACAATCATTATGAAATCGCGGATTTTCGCGCGGCGGTGGGATCCTCCTGGTTTTCACAAGCTGACTCAGAGATCAGCGGGGCGGGCCCTGGTCATGTTGTTATCATGGGTACCATGCCCATGGTTATCAGAAACCGACTCTCACTCGTGTGAAGTGGCTACACTCTCGCAGAGCCTCAGAACGCTTGCCGAAGACGGACTCCGGCCCGAGTTAAAATACATGTGACCAGCAGTGGACCATTTTATGCAGTGACTCCCTGGCCCTATCGACTCGTCTGTTACTCTGGAGTCTGGGTTATAGAGAGAAGTGAAGTGAAAAATAGTTTGTCTTGCCTCTTGCTAATGCTAGTCTTGGTGTTACACCCGGCACTAGCACTTCGTAGGTCTGCCTTCGAACTTCACGCCATCGAGACTTCAAGTCTTGGTGAATTTACACAAGGGCCCAGTGTATCTCAGTCCGTGTCTGTATAGTTCACTGTCATACACACGGCCGGTGACGGGCGATGCGCTCCAGCATGAGTGCGGCAAGAAAGATAGATCAGTGACAGTGTTGGTCCTTGAATGAGTGAATGAGGAAGTCATTTCTCTACTAACGCAAACCAACGTCTCGGCCGGCGGTCTGAAAATCTTCAAGTGCAGCGCCACCCTAGCCTAGGTAGAGATCAAGAGCGGGCGCAGCATTCCGACCATTCAGACTACAGTCATTCTGATTCAGGGTTTCCTCTGCCGGCACGCTGCTACTGTGCTAGCGTGCTGCGATCCCGTCGTCCGGTCTACCGTGTGCAGTGATTCCGCATGCTGCGATCCCGTCGTCCGGTTTACCGTGTGCAGTGATTCTGCAAGGCAACAGCGATACTTTGCGGTGGGGAATCCGAGCGAAAAGGGCTGCTAGGTAAGTGCGCGCCGTTGCATATGAGCTCAGTGCAAGGGAATATTATTTTTGGATACAGAAGTGATTGCATTGTTATGTACTCGGCTGCGCTTGTGGATAGTCAGCCCCGACTCTGGCCTTGCGAAGTAAAATAAAACTCAACAACACCCACTCAATAGGTGTTTTGTTCTCTCAATCCTCAACTTCTGTGTTCTAGTCGTGTCTTCGTCCTCCCTGTAATTTATTCATCTTTCTCGGCTCTGGTCTTGAGCGGAGTTTGTAGAATTTTCGTAAAAAAAATCCTATAGAGGACCTGCATAGTTGAGAGGTTCTGCTATACGTGAAACCTCTGAGTGAACGTAGAGAAATCACGTAGAGAGCAGGTGCCTGGGTTAGAGCCTACGGCTTCGCGAATTTTGGGTCCAGATTTCTACGCGTAGATGAGTTACGTTGCGACACACGCAAAGAAAATACGTATAGGGATCTGCTGGGTATCATTCAAATGCAGGCAGAAAACTGCCCAATATGGAAGGGGAAAATCCCAGTACACACGATTTCTCTACGTCAACAATAGACAACATAGAGCAGAACAGGTTCTCTTTACGTTACGGGAACGTGAAGAGCGTTTCCGGGATTCTTCGCGTTGCGTTCCCGTAACGTAGAGCAGAACATGTCTAATGTTCTTGAAGCACACGACCGTACGTCGATGCTCAGTCAGTGCGGCTCAATG